TCTCTAACATTCTGTGATTCTGTGACTAGAGGCCCCAAATAAGTTGGCTTTCATGTCCCTGTCCTGTTAATTGATGACTGTTGCCACTGTACATCTGATGCTTTCATTTTAGATTGCCATTTCTAATGTCTTTCACCATCGTTCATAAAATCAGGCCCAGCAAGAACAGATGCACATAATGGTGTTAAGGATTTTACAGTAGGGTTGTAATGTGTGTTTAAAAAGCTGTCAGCAAGGTGATACTACATCCAGTACACTTTGCTCTTTCTTGCAGTGATGTTAGATATTGTACACAATAATACTGTATAATAATAATATTAATAATGTATAATAATAATGTATGAATATAGCCAACTGTTTCATAATAGCTACAAAATATTTACAAAAGTATTCACTAAGAGCATGAAGTGAAGATAACAGACTCCTGAGCAGCCTGAAAACCAAACAAGAATTGTTTGGCTGCTGTTTTTCTCTGCTCTCTTGAGTAGCTGGAGTCCTTGACAGTTTTGGCTGTTGTGATCTGCTGGGTAGAGGATTGGACAAACTAGTCTGGAACATGGGTGATCCAAGGAATTCTTCTGTCCACGCACTACTTGAGAGAGGTGCTTTGATGAAAAGAGGAATTCATCTGATTTATACCAGCTAGATATTAAATAATACTTGGAATTGGTTTGACTGTTTTTCAAAATACGCTTTAATTTTTTTTAAAAATGAACAAAATATTCAAATGCAAATCTATGTATATTCTCTTAGTATTATATTTCTTCTGAAAGAGGGAATTTATGAGATCAGAGTTGTATAAGCTGAGTTAAGAATGCTCACCTTTATAAATGTATAAAATAGTCTTCAGGTTTTTTGTCATGGATATGTCAAGTTTTTTTAATTGTAATTATTGCCAATTTTGTTAACATGTAAAAATAGTCCTTTTTGATTTTTCAGATCAGGTTTTCTACAGTAATAAAATACTTTACAGAAGATTCTTGTAAAATCAGTCAGACCTTCTGTCTTTTCCCTGGCCCTCATTACACAACTGCACATAATTAAGTACATTGCAGCAGTTCCTGCTGTGGGTTGATGGCGATGCTTAAATAGCCTCCCTGATACAGAGGAATGCTAAAGTCATACCAGCTGTATGGAAGCCTTTGCTGATCAAGAAGCGCATGTCAGTGTAACCAGCTCATGTACATAACAGTGCAACTATAAGTGCATTTTAAAACCCAAGGAAGTAGTAGTATCTAATTAATAGCCTGTTTGTTCTGTGAATGTGTTAATTACTTTAGGCAAACAATGTATAGAGTGAGACACTTATGTTCATTTATGTCAGAGAGGAGGAAAAGCTTGCTACAAAGGAGAACTTTAGGATGATTAAAAACATATATAACAAGTGAATTATGTTTTCCTGTATATCAGACATAGTGTGGTAGATTCTCTAAGATGCTCAAATGACATCATTCCCTGCTGAGATTCTTTGCCTCTGTGGATTGAAAGGGGAGACTATCCAGACTGTTTAGTAGGTGCAGATAAGTTGCCACTGAGTAAACACAACTTGGAGGAGTGGGAGGGGGTTATTTTGTTTCTTCTCAGAAAAAGTTTGAATAATTTTATGTGACACAAGTTGTCTCTGCTTGTTGAGAAGACTTTTAAAGGTACTAATTCTGTTTCTTATCGCACCCAAAGAAATCGCTGGAGCAGCTAGACTGTTGGGAGGGGAATGCGCAAGAATGTCCTTAGTTCAGAAAATTGTGTCTGGAACTAAAGTCCAGTCCTTGTCATAGTTTATTATAGTCTTAAGGCTGTTTGCAGTCTGTGATTATGAGAGATTTACAAGGCCTGTGCTGGCACTTCAGACTTCTTGGTATGTAGCTGTCCTCTTTCAGGTCTCCTTGAGGACTAATCTCTGTATTGAGATTACATCATCAAGGGTAAACTTACAGTGAAAGGGGCATGGGTTTCGGAACAAGATGGAGCCAAATATTGATGGGCACGTTTATCAGGCACCAAATCTTTGAATTTCTGAGTTATTTTTTAGTGATCTGTTATTTTTTTAGAAGAAATACTGCAAATAATAAGTGAATCAACTGTTCTTTCAGAAGAGAGCAAATAGGTGTGCCGTGACTGGTCAGTAGAAGTTACAATACTGGTTTCATTTTGCGTACAAACTGAAGTCTCAAATGTTTTACAGTTAAATAAAAAATTAAACCAGCGTTAACACAGGACCAGAAAAAAGGAGATGGGTTTTTCATCAGAAGGGCAGAGGTTGTTCCAAATAGTGGGTGTTGTGGAAACCAGCTGCTTAGCTTCACTTCATTACTGTGAACTCCCTTTGTTTCAGGCTAGTGTGGGTAAAGATGTGAAAAATACACAAATAAATTCAGGTGGTCGTAGTCTGATTTGGTGGGTTTCAGGGATGAGGCTATATCTCTTTGCATTTATCTTTCCTTCTCCCTTGGCCTTAGAATATTCAGTCTGAGTTGGATATTGTTTTCTTCTGTATGGCTTATTATTTTAGGGAAATCTTAACTGCTTTATGTAGACTTGTCCATCTATTAAAGTATAGGCATCAGTAATATGCTCATAATAGACAATGGAAAAAACCTGAGGTTCTTTAATTTGAACCAGTGTAGGTTGGAATGACAGTGGTTTTGTATCTAAGAGTACTGCTACTTCTGAGGGCAACAGTGTGACTCCAAAAAAGGCCAAGCCTAATGAGGTTGGTGCTGGAAGCAATTCAGCTGTTTCACCCCAACAGTAACAGCATCACAGTGTAGCTTCAGAAGGTGTGCTAGATCAGATGGTCTGTCAATCCATGTGTCTGCCTAATGGAAAGAGCTAGCACTCTTGTAGTGTTTAATTTGATCGGTATTATTAATGCTATTAAGGCAATGTAAATAAATAAACTCTATTCTTATGCCTTAAAATGAGGAAAACCTTTCTATGCAAGGATTTATATACCTTTACAAATTAATACACCCTACGTTATTCAAATTTTAGACCTTTATTTTTTAGTAGGTATTTCTGGATTCTGTAAAGCAATGGTTAAGTTATTTAGTGGCTGTGAAGACTCATGATCAAAATAAATGCCTCTGACCTCATACTCTTAGTTCAGATTTTCTGTGTCAAAGAACTGAATAGAGAGTTGAAACTTTAAAAAAAAATAAAACCTAGAAAGTCAAGATTGAAAAAACTCTGACTGAATTTATCAACTAATTCTGATTAGATAAAAGGAAGGGGGGGGGGGAAATCATTATTGGAATGTCAGGCAGTGCAGCAAGGACCCAGATTGTGGAGTCTCCATCCCTGGAGATATTCAGAAGTTGACTGGACACAGCTCTCAGCATCCTGATAAGGTTGGACTTGCTTTGAGTGGGGCATTGGACAAAAACACCTCCACAGGTCCGACCTAAATTATTCTGTGGTTCTGTACTTCAACTAACTATTGCAAAGTTTTGCAGTTCCTCCCTTTCTTTTGCAGCAGTGTTTTTGATACAGTTGAAAATAGTAGTGGGAAAAGAGGAGAGAGAATCTAAGTTTCAAAGAGAGAATGTTCTTTGAAAGACATTTACCTCCCTAGAAGATGAGAGGAAGTCAAACTGTTTCAGTGTATTAATAATTAGGTGTGTTTTTCTCCTGAGCCAAAAGGTTCTTTCCAGCTGATTGTTAATAGACAAGAATTTATTCTTGGAGATATTTGCAACCACACTCTCTCCTATAATGTTAAAATGAGGGACTACTTACAGTGTGATTCTGTTTGGAATAATTTCATATTTGGGGTTTTTGCATGTCTTGTTTGCGGCTGGCTTGCTATCAGAGTCCTCCCCAGCAATGAGCAGGAAGTGGCTATAACATGGAATATCGCAGCAAAAAATTTTCCTCCACCCTGTGTTGCATAAAACAGATATTGTGCTACAGCCTATAATACACAAAAGATAACTGGAGTATCTTACTAAATGCAGTAACAAAGGAGTAGGTCATATTCACTGACATCCTTATTTTTATGAGTTTGTCTCTGAGTCATCCCATGCTAGCATAGCAATTTCTAATGTGCCGCAGAACCCAGCACTGAAGTACTGCAGAACACTACATCTTGCTGCAGAACTTGTTTTCTTCCAACTCAGCTTGCACTTTGATGTGATATGTCAAAACGTTTTACAAACTGTAATAGTGAAGACTTGCAGCACTGTTTTGTGGTACATCTCTTGCGTGACCATCCACTCATGTGAACGGCTTTCTGCTTAATTATGATTTTTAACAATACTGTTGTCTTCACAAGGAAAAATACTGTTTGATCCCTGTCTACCTCATGGACTATGCAAGACTATTTTTGTGACAAAATGTATAATGCTGTTTCGTGGTTGTTTTAACTCATACACTTACTTGTTCCCTTGTTATAAGGTGGATGTATTTGTGTGTTTATTTTTATTACATTTTTTCATAGCCCTGGCAGGGTACGGTTGACTCCACAGTTGAGACACTGCTTAAAACTCTTACTGTGTTTAACCTTCTGTTCTAAACTGCTTATTCTGCATGCAGTCCTCCAGATCTGTGAATGACCTGAGAATGCAAGAGAACAACTGGAAAAGTCTTGCTTGCTTTTTTGTCAGTTTGGAGAAAACTGGAAGCCTGGGTTTATTTGTTAAAATTTAAGCTAATGCAGAGCTTTTTTGTTTTTTCTTAAAAGGTATTAATAATTTTATGTTGAAAGGAGAAATACTATTTCCTTTCATTACTGGGAGTAATTATTTAGAGGATTTATTCTCCAGGTTCTCCAAAGACACCTTTGCTCAACAGGAATGATGCATCTGGATAGGCCTAGGTTCCAACAACTGTCCAGAGAGAAATCTTCTTATCATTGAGAACAAGATGGTGACATTCCTTTCCAAAACCATTATCTGAACCCTGTTGTGATGATGATCAGGTCATGGCATAAAGCAAGTTTTACGTGTTTATTTGGGAATTAAAGTTCTTAAAACAGAAACTTCACAAATCCATCCTATCCAGGTGGTAGGAGGGTGGTGGTGTGCAGAATTGATGCTTTGTCTCTAAGATGCTACCTTCACCCCCTCCCATTTTTTTTCTTATTTCTCACTAAGATTTTGTAAAAGTTATTTATAGGTCTGTATCAAACAGCACTAACTGAAACTCAGTTTGGAAAAAAGGAAGGATAGCTAAAAGATGGTTTTAAAACCTTGCTTATGGTTACAACAGCTATATCAGTTGCCATAGTTTTAATTTGAAATAGTGTAGTTTGCTAGAATATTAAATAATAATACATTGAGTATTCTGCCTATGAATTCTGAATATTAACGTATTTTAAATTTTACAGGTACAAATGCTGCATCAAGCACCATTAAAAATGGAGGACCTTTTCCACGAGCTTGTCCGAAGTGCAATATTCATTTCAATCTTATGGATCCTCTAAAAAATCATATGAAGGTAAAATATTTTGGGGCTGGTAAACATTATGACAAACTTATCTGGGATTCTGTTTGATTATGAGAGTGCCATGTTTTGATATGAAGATAGTGTGGCTTCTGGCTGTGATCAACCAGAGAACAAATGCTCAATACCTTGCAGTTGAGGAGAGAAAGAATGGAGTAGGGAAGCTGTAAATCTTGCCACTTTTTGCCTAATTTTTCCAATAAATTGAGGTGTATTTGCTGTCTCTGCGTGATTTCTCTCTGCAACATCTTTGACTTCTTGAACCCTTGGCCAGATTCAGGTAAATCTGATTAAGGTAAGTGCCTATGATATTAGGCAGGCAGTTGACCCACATCTTTGTTAGATACCTCCTGAGACAAAGATGGCAGTGTAAACTTAGCTTTTTATATATAATCTGGTAGCTAAAAAAGTTGTTAAGCTGAGGAGAAGAACTTAATTTGTAGTTCATACTTAAACACTGTGAGAAACAGAGTTTTCAGAAACTAAGCATTGGTTAGTCTGTTTATGAAACTTTTTATTGTTTCTGGAAGTACTGTTTCCTGGAAAATATTTATTATTATTTGGCAAAGATTGCTGTGATTCTCAGACGTATGTATTCCATTTCAAGGGCCAGAGAAATGGCTTTGCACTCTGATGTGAATAACCCATGCAAAAGGGATATGAACTACTGTGTAAGAGAAATTTGTGAAGCTCTGAGTTACTGTTCACACAGATTATTCTGATTTACTGGGTTTAAGATGCCCAAAATGGTAGCTGCTGTCCTCTTCAGCTTCAGAATACAATTAAGATACTTACATAACAGTGGAAAAAAATCAAGTGTTTTATCTTTCTCTAATCATTGTTTGTAGAGAATAGCTTTTGCGCCGAGTACATCAACCAAATGAAAGAACCATTGAAGAAGTGGGTTTAATAAGTATTATTTAATTAAATTTTAGTTAAACTATATGGGATAAATATACTGAGTTACACTTCCACAGTAGGAAATGAATACTTTACTAGTAGGCTTATAAAAAGTAGTCCTGCACAATAAGAACTGTTATTCAGCAAGATCTGTCCTCTGAAACATGCTAATTTTGTTCACTGTTGGAAACCGCATAGTACCTTCTGTATGAAGTACTTCATACTTGTTAGGTTTCGTATTATAGCTGTTGGGTTAAACGTTCATTATGTACATTTTTGGCATAAAGAAGCTTGAACAGCGTACGGTGTGTGATTTAAAATTTCTGAAGTTTTCAGTAATGCTGGAAGAACTTTTGCAGGTTTCAACATATGTCTACCTCAAAGAAAGACAAGATAAAACTTTCCATTAAGTTCTCAGTAAACTTAAGCTTGTCAGCAAAATACTTGCATAAAAGCTGCTTTTTTCTTTCTCATTATTAAATCTAAATGAAGGAGACCTTTTTCTAATGAGTAAGGCAACGCTGGTGTTCAGATTTCTAGCTTACATTTATCTTACATGAACCCGTGAGAGTAATCCCTTTTCAGCTTTTATATTATATAGTATTTGATTACCTAAACACTACCTAGAGATCAGTGACTGATCAAAATCCATATGTGAATATGAATAAAGTCGGAAAACTGAGCTTTGCATCTAACTCTAGTTAGTGAGTAGCTTCAGTTTTTAAAATGCTGTTGTCATCGATGCAGTTTGGTAAGAGAGACTGATACCTTTGTCTGTGTCTCTTCTCCTCCTGCTTTCCACCCAGTATTGTTGTCCAGATATGGTAAATAACTTTTTCCTGGGAATGGCCAAAACAGAATGTTCAAGCACAACAAGCAAGACTGCTGAATCTGAGAAAGGAAAATTGATTATGTTAGTTAACGACTTTTATTATGGGAAACATGAAGGTGACACCCAGCAGGTACAACAGGAGCAGAAGACTCATACGACATTTAAGTGCTTCAGCTGTCTGAAAGTTCTTAAAAATAACATAAGGTATTTGAACTCACTTCCTTAATTGTTTGTTAATTACTTACAGCCCACAGCACTTGAGTCTCATGCATTAAAAATTTGTCTCTCTGGGATAGAAATTTTTTTCTTACTGAAAACTGATAATATTGGGTAACTGAATTAATTTTTTTATGCATGTATAGGCATAACTTAAACTTTTTACAGATTAGAGTACAGATTATAATGGTGTAGAGTTTTAATGAGAGCAGTTGTAGGACTTTGGGGTTAGAAAGGGCAGCAAAGTGTTTTACAATTTGCCGTCTGGATTGATGGTTGTATCAGTATATGCGAGTGTTAATTCCCTTTAGGGATGCACAGTGACTAATTGTTGGTGCTTTAGTTATGTAACATCTGCTTTTTGATGGAATAATTTTACTTCCAAATGCTGCAAAAAAATCTTCAGTAAGCTGTTTTAATAGGTAGGCGAGTTTGTGTCATTGTTCCTTTAGAAGTTAAGGTCATTGAACTTTTTTACATGCATTCTTCAAGGGAAGCTGAAATAGCAGAATGTAAAACTGAAAAATGGACTGTTCCTTCAAAGGGCATAGTCTGCAAGTTAAAATGAACAGGTTTATGCTAACAATAGACCTGTGTTATTGAACAAAACAAAAGTTTCATGTAATTACAAACATTAAATTTGCTATTAATCATTAAGTATGTGTAAATCCTAATTAAAATGCCAGTAATTTGTCTTAAGCAGCTTGAAAATGTTGTATGTTACTAGACTTTAAAAGTTTACTCTCACGATTTTATAGTTCCTGTTAATTACGGCATTTCTTCCCTTGTAATTTATCTTTTTAAGAGCAGTGAACAATGTTTCATATGGGCCAAGAGGTCTTTCTTCTCTTTTTATATGCATAATACTTCTCAAATAAGCCTTTCTTGCAATATCATGAAAAGTACTCCACAGAAAAAATACTTTATTAAGATACTGGGTTAATTTTTAAAAATGTTTTTCAGGTACTGTTTTCTGTTCAGCATTCTATTGTAAGCTGTTGGTGCTATGGTGCCTATGTGTTGCACAGCAAGTAATTAAAAAATGAGCATTTAATTTTTCTTTGAATTTCTCTAGAGATGACTTTCAGCCTTATTGATTTTTGCTTTAACTTTGTACAGTATTCCATAGCTCTGTAACTCCAGAATTTTTATTCCAAGGTGTATTTTATACCTGTAACCTGTCCAGTTTTCTGGACCTTAATTCAGAAAATCACAAAGTGCTTCATCAGGGTAATCCCTTACTTCCTTTAAAAGACCTGTGTTAGAACACACCATGGAAACAATGTTCTGTTAAGGTAATATGGAGTACTGGTGTTGGTTCCTTTCTTCTGGTAGATACCTGGATATCTTCAGTTAGCTTTTTTATTTGCTTTTTTTCTTTTGTGTTTTTTAAGCAACTGCTTGATATTAGAAGCTTGAGCTCAAGAGTCTCTTCTCCTTAGCTCATTTGCTTTTTCCAAATCCCAGGTCACTATATTGGGAACTAAATTCCTTTTGTGAGTGTGACCTACATTTAATAGTTCCTCTGGCTGTACTGAAATGAAGCACATTCAAAATAGAACAGTTTTTGAAGTTGAACAGGTAGTGGGTTGTGCAACTAACCTGTCCTTGTGCTGCTCCACAAGTAACTATGACCTGCCAATGTTGTCATGGGTGCCTAGACTTCTCAGCCAGAATAGGTTCCTACTACAGATAGGTGGACATATTAATGAGGAAGAGGTGGTCACTTGAAGTAGTAACATACCACCAAGTTTCTCATAGACTTTGGCTTGTCAGCTGCACAGTGACATTCTTTGATAACTGTCCTTCATAATTCAACTTCAGTCCTAAATGCTTTATTCAAAGAAAGCTGCTGGAACCCTGCCAGTTTTGAATGGAGGTGATTTCAGAAAAAGTCGTAATGTCCTAATTGCCAATATGTTCTTGCTACTTAATAGTTTCAGCAGAGCTAAAGTTATACTTGCTTCAGAATGGGGATTTGAGACTCTGGTGGTGGTGAAGTGCGAACAGCTGACATGTTTTGTTGTTGCCTTTACTAATTTCCCTTTATTTCAAGGCAAGAATTTTGTCTAAGCAAACATGAAAAATGCAATAGATTGCTTAGCCTTAGAACATGTTTCGGATATGTGGCATGTGACTTACAATAGTCAAAATTTCTGCTTAAGCTTTTAGATGTTTTAAGATGATTTCTGGTGTAGTCAGCTTGCTTAACTTTGCCTTTTTTTTTTTTTTTTTTTTTAAATGAACACATTCCTTGGAATTTTTTTTCTAATTGAGAAAGTTCTTATGGAGTACAGTTTCTAAAGAATCCTGTACATTTTGCATTCTAGTGGAAGTTAAAATGTAGGTTTTAGCACCTGTTCACTGTCATTTAAAGGTTTATGAACCACATGAAACATCACTTGGAGCTTGAGAAGCAGAGCAGTGAAAGTTGGGAAAGCCACACCACCTGCCAGCACTGTTACCGTCAGTTTCCCACCCCATTCCAGCTGCAGTGCCACATTGAAAGTACACACACGCCTTACGAGTCATCTAGTAAGTTGGATTGTATCACATTGAATCTTTTTGTGACCTAAAATTTTTAGGTATTTTCTGACTTCTACTTTGCTGGTTTGTACATTCAGAATAAAGCTATTTATTTAAGAGCAATTATCTTGAGATTTAATATAGGAGCTGGGCACTCATTCAATTTATGTTAGAGCAATGTGTGTTTGAAAAAATGTTTTAAAAAATCTTTTTAAAAAGCTGTTTTTTAATTGAAAGCTTGACTGCAATAATTCATGTTGTTTAAGGGCCTTGCACTGCTGACTTCCTGAAATTGTATAGGGAATTTCTTCTGAAGAGTAGAATAATCGTTAGATTGCTTTACGTTTATACACTTCACGTATACGTGTTATAATTTATCTACTTATGACCCCAAACAAATTTTTACTTTTTTCTTGTTTTTCACTTTTTCTAGCAATTTGCAAGATCTGTGAATTATCCTTTGAAACAGAGCAAGTTCTTTTGCAACATATGAAGGACAATCATAAGCCAGGTGAAATGCCATACGTTTGCCAGGTATCTCAGACTGTTTTATATTTAGATTACACCACCCACCTGTCTTTACTGTCAATAAACTTTTAACAAGAAAGTCGAACTTTTTGTTTTAGGTATGCAACTACAGATCCTCAGCTTTTTCAGATGTAGAAACACATTTTAGGACAGTTCATGAAAATACAAAACACTTGCTATGCCCATTTTGCCTCAAAGTAATTAAAATTGGAGCACCGTATATGCATCATTACATGAGGCATCAGGTAAGCAGATAATTTTCAATCCTTAATGCTAGAAAAATGCTAAATGTGTGTTATTAATTTCTCTTTGAAAAAATAGCGTAACTGATTTGTATGGTTGGTACTGGATAAGAATAGTTAATAGAATATGGTAGAAGAATTATGACTGCGTGTTTTGAAAAGTCTTTAAGGGAATTATTAGAATCAGCTCCCTGTTTAAAAAAAGACAAAAATCCTCTGAATATCCTTGACAGAATATCTCTGCAACTCGTTTTCTTCATCAAGTTGTTGTGATGTGTTCTGCTTTTCTTGAGGTTACTAGCAAACCTTTCACTAGCTCAAGTGGAGAAAAAGATTATGAAGTACTATGTCGTCTTGTAACTGGTAACCTGATTCTCGTACTCTTAGTAATGATGCTGCCTCACATTTTCAAGTAGTATTCTCTCTTTAATTCCTGCACAGTGTCTTGGCTTCGTACAATATTAGGAGTTTGTCCAGTTGATGTTTTAGAAGCTGGATGAGCATTGCTTAAGACAGGCTAGGGTTGGAGTTTTGTCTACCATGACATTCATGCTTACTATAGATTGTCTTCTGTTTTTAAAAGAAAAAAGGAATATACCGTTGTACTAAGTGCAGACTGCAATTTTTGACGTGCAAAGAAAAAATGGATCACAAGACTCAGCATCACCGAACATTTAGGAAACCCAAACAGTTAGAAGGATTGCCTCCTGGAACAAAGGTAAGTGTTCATACAGGAAAATTAGAGGGGCAAAGGAAAATATGTATTGGTAGAGAAAGGGGTGGAATAGAAAGAAGTGCTTTTCTGCTTTCTTTTCCAAAGCAAATTTTTTCCCCTGCCTCTAAAACTAAAACTCTAAAAAATATTCCTGTTGGAAGAATTGCCAGGCCCAGTTTGTGGTTTCCTCCTGGTGATCTGTGGTGTTGGTGTCTGTCCCATTCTCCTGTACATGTATATGGCAGTAGTACAGTCAGTTCTTTCTTGAAGCTGTTGGTTTATTTGCCCCCTCGCATTTTATCCTTTCTTGTGCTACAAGAAAAGGACATAGTCTGGATGTTGGTCTTGAGGGGTCTGCATCGTTTCATATGAAAGATTTTCAGCTGTGGAAGATGGTGGCAAAAAATCAGAGAGAGTACAAGACCTACTTCTCCATAGACAATATGTACTTAAAACTGAGTTCACTACATCTATCTCCAGCATTTGAAGTGGAAAAAAAACCCCACAGTTTTCTGCTGAGTGTTTTATGAAGTAAATTCATGTCTCCTCAGAACACTTAGGATATCTTTAAATCATTCTTCCATTTTTAAGCTGAAAGAGAGTAGATTTAGGTCAGGTATTAGGAAGAAATTATTTACTGGGAGGGTGGTGGGGCAGTGGCCCGGGTTGCCCAGAGAAGCTGTGGATGCCCCATCCCTGGAGGGGTTCAAGGCCAGGCTGGATGAGTCTTTGGGCAACCTGGGCTGGTGGGAGGTGTCCCTGCCCATGGCAGGGGGTGGAACTAAATGGTCCTTAAGGTCCCTTCCAACCCAAACCATTCTGTGATGAAGGAACCACTTAGACTAGGATTTTCGTGTAGATTTCAGGACTTTTTCCTGTAGTTTTTAAATGAAGCTTGGATGATACATGTCCTTTCAGTTGAAAGGAAGAAAATTAACATTTTGATCAGCTCTTCACCGTTCATTTCCTATAGAATCTGGAAGGGAAAATGACTGAAGTTGATGTTGATTGTGTTCCTTGGCAGAATGTAAAGCACTGATTCTCTGCTCTGTGGCAATACCTCGGTTTTCTAAAGATTTCAGGGTCTTCATGATCTAATGAAAGCCTAGATTATGTTAAAATTTTGGTGTTAGCATACCTTGATGGGATGTAGATATTGAGACTGAAGAGCTTGGAACCAGGTATAGAAGATGAGGTGCTTCTAAACTATAAGTATGGGCAAGAAGTATAATTAGGAGTTATGCTGCGAGTGAAAACTGGAGAACCAAATTTAAGGGCAAGACAAAGGAGTGTGGTAGTGCCAGATAAGAGGTCAGAAACCAGAATTAGTCCTTGGGGGTCTAGGATGAGGAGCAAAAATATCTGAAGGAAGTAGATGGGCTAATCATGAGGCAACAAGACACAGGGCTTTTGTTAAATCTGGGTACTTATGGGTTTCTTTGATGTTCTTCTTAGTAGAGCTAACTGGCCTGACCTTTCTGTTTCTTTTCCACAGCTACATTTTTTTTGTTTTAAGAAAGCAGGAAGTAGCCAGTTGCAGGTCTGAAAACAAAGTAGTGTGTTTTGTCATGGCTCACTATTTCCACCAAAACAAGAGCTTTTTCAGCATCCAGTAGACTATTGAGGTTAGGTTTACTCTAGTCAACCGTACTTCATATATTTCAAAGCAGTCTTTACTCAGGAGAATGTTTTATCCTATGATTTTTTTGTCCTAAAGTGGCTTAAACTTTGAGACAAATAGAAATGGGAACTTAGCTTAAATCTAAACAGAAACATTTTTCATTTCATACTTGTAGGTGACTATTCGAGCATCTGTTGGATCCCTTCAGTCAGGATCATCAGCTACATCTTCTGTTAGTACAAGTGCTTCCGTGTTTCAGTTATCACCTAAAGCTAAAAATACAACCACTAAAAATCATAACAAATCTAATACAAATAAGTCAAAAGCAAAATCAAAACCGACAGCATCGAAGAAGCAAAATGCATGGACCAACAGCAAAAAAAAAAAAATTACAAATACAGCATTGCATAATCTAAGGTAACATACTGAATATTTAAAATATCTCTAAGTATACTTGGAATATAAATAACTGATCGTTTAATTATCTTTCAAAAATTTTAATACTACAGTGCAGAAGATTTGACGCTTCAGTTTTGCAGAAAAAGCAGGCACATAAACTTTCCACATACTGGTACTGTGATTATAATTCTGAACCTTTGTTCACCAGTTTTGTTGGTGGTAAGCTGCTTTATGATGGAAGAACAGGTGTTCTGGAAACTCCTCTGTTCCAAATACAGAATTTTGCTCTGCACAGAGCCACAGACTGTTGAAATACTGACTCATTAGGCAGGTTTACGTTTAAAAGTGACTTCTGGAGGGGAATACATCTGCCTGCATGTTCTTTGCAAGTTTTCTTACGGAGGGAAAAGTATCTTCCTCCTTCATTTTTTTAAGGGTTTTATTTGAACCACTTATTTGAAAGGTTTAGTCTTGTCTGTCCTAGGAGATACCTTAGTTTGGGGAGCTACAAAAAAAAAAAAAAATCAAGAAGGTAAAAGCAAGCTGTTGGGAGACTGCTGTCCTTATATTTACAATTTAGTGGGTTTTGCTATCCTTATGTTAATAATTTAATGGATGTTTTATGGACTAGAATGTGATTTCATTGGTTAAGATGAGTTAGCACTTTTCTTTGTCGAAGACTGTAGATGTCTCCCTTCCAATAAGGTGCTCATGCTCACAGGGTGTAGTTGTCTGAGACATCCAAAATTGTCCAGCAAAATTGGGGAAGAGCAGGATCACATTACTCCTTTGTAGATATTTTAGAGCTTGTGGGGAATATCAGGGATGACAGGAAAAACGGTGTTTTTTCTGTGTATCATGGTGAATGAAGCATTTCTCTGAAATCCTTCTCAAGTGCGTAGAGACAACAGCAGCAGCTAAAGTAGTAGGTTCTTAGCTAATGCAGTATCTTGTTTCCAGAAGCAGCCAATAACAGTTGCTTACATTAACTTTCACTTTTTTATTAGGGTCATAATGACAGTATAATTCAAGAAAAAACAAGTTTAATAAGTATTTAACTGATACATTAAGTTCCTCATTTTTTCCCTAATGTAGTAAAGCTTGCTAGCAACTTAAAGCAAAAAGTTTGAAATAGTTATTTAATCTTAAGTGTTGATATTAAATATGAACTTTTTTATTTTACTGTAAGGTGTCGTTTGGGAGCTCACAAATGCATTGAGTGTTACTCGGAAATAAAAGATTTTGCAAGCCATTTTCCTGCTTACGTCCACTGTAGCTTATGCAGATACAACACCAGCTGTAGCAAAGCCTATGTGAATCACATGATGAGGTAAGAACTCTTCAAAATTTTTATTTGGTTATTAAATACTTCCGAAATTCATGTAAGTTATGTTAGATGTTTCTATTAGCTGAATTTTGAACTGGGTCATAGGACTGGAAGGAAATGTCTAAGGTTGGATTTTTACTTTGTAATGAGGGCCTAAACCCCATGTTCTTGTTTTGCCTTAAAAATCCAGTGGTTCAGGCAGTGTTCTGTCTTTGCTTCAGAGTTTCTATGGAATCTTCCGTAATAATTTCAGCCAGACTTAACAAATAATGACTAATTGTTGCATGTTGTCTGGGTTTCAGATTGAATACCTCATCTGGTTTTACAAGTGCTGAGTGCATACAGCCACAGCTATTGCTAATGAAATCTGTGCTCAGAATACCGTGTAAAGGATGTCTCAGATAGCATGCTCAAGTGGATACTTTTTCTTACACTACTTCTGGTCATCAGAATAGCATGTTATTTTGTAGGAGGTTTGCCACTGATTGTGAGGCAGTGTAGGATATCGGTGATGACGGCTGTAAAAAAGCCTGTTAAGAAAACAAATGCATTAGTTTTCAGAGCAATAGAACTATACTATGCAATAATTAGACACAGATCACGTAGCAGTGGCAGTAAAACAAAATTTTGAAAACCTGCTTGTTAATCCTGTGCCCTGAACGTTGCAGGAAAATACAAAATGCAGTTGTCTTTTTAAACATATATACGTGAAAATGCCTTGGCATTTTTGAATGCTAGAATTCTTGAATTTGTGACCCAAGTCTTTAAAAGTTTTTGTGTATATTTTATATGTTGACCTAGTCATTAATTTCAATGCTCATGTAAGTCCTAGGCCTTTATGCATATAACCTGTTGGTTGCCTGCTTAAAAAAATAATAAATGCAGGTCATTAATTGAGCCTTCTATTTTCATGCTTTGTCATAAGCAAATTGCAGTCCTATCTACAGTGTAAAGGATATGTGGAATAATGTATTCAAGAAAACCAGTCTAAGTGATAATGTTTTCTTATGTTTAGTTTTCACAGTGCTCGTCCTAGTAAAAGATTTTGGATCTATAAGAAGCATTCAGCAAAGCTACGGTAATTCAGCTTTTTTCGGTTATGGATCATTGTTTTTACTTTCTGATAGTGAACTGATTAGTCGAATGAGATTAAGAACCTCTTGAATTTCTAGGCTTCCACAATTTAGAAGGAGAATAAAAACATTAGCTCTTCCACTAGCAGCATTCTGTTCAGTGACAAATATTTGTTATTTGTCCATGTTTACTAACTAGTTTCTTAACCCTGAGCAGTTTTAAAAAATATTTCTATTTCTTTGTTTTCCAATTTTTCATAATGTGCAAAATGGGTAATAGGGAGGGAAACAAACAAACAAAAAAACGAAACCCACCACAGTTGAGAAACTCATGCATTACAGATGAATTTCTGTCTAAGTGGTGTTCTTTGTACTGGATCCAGCATGGAGATGCCCTGGTCATTGACTGGGATTTCCAGGTGCTTAGTTGCAGTATAAAAAGAAAGAATATGGTTCTGAGAGTCATCTCATCTAAAGTTGCGGGAAATTTTATTTATTTTTTTTATAGTCTGTCCAGTTGCTGTAAGTTAAAACATTTTTTGCAACCATGTTGTATTTATACTTCCTTTTTGCTTTCTCTCTGCTAGAGGTGTGACTGTAGTATGTCTTAACTGTGATTTCCTGGCTGATGTTTCTGGCTTAGACAGTATGGCCACACATCTAAGTGAAAGTCACACTCATACTTGTCAAGTCATTATAGAGAAAGGTGAGTACATACAGTGTCTTTTTAATATAGTGTACATAGATAAATACTTACCTGTGGATGTCTGTGTTATGGCAGCCCTTTTTTCAATTGCATTGTTATGATTTCTGTGTGCTTGGATTTGAAAGTGAGTACTTCTGTATTTCCATAATTTAAAATACTTTTAATTAAATCCTTTATTTCTGTTTTCAGTTTCTGTAGATACCCCAACTGCTGAACAAGTATCTGAGTAAGTTTTGTTTTACTGCTCAATGTTTTTTTTCTATTAGTTTAGTGACGGACAAAATTTGCACTTTAATCTTGGGTTTCTTTTGAATTTCATAGAATTTGAAATGTATGGATGAACATGAACTCTTACTGGTGCTTTTTGCTCTTACTACTTTCACAGTTACAAGAATAGGGAGATAAAATTTTTACCTACTTGCAGTCAAAATTAAAACCACGTTTTTGTTCAGTTTGGCCAAAGAGACATAAATAATTCTTGCAGTATTAGAACTTCTCAATTCTGCCTTCTAAGTCTAAACATAGTGAGACAGTTACTTCAACTTGCCTTTAATGCTAGCTTTATTAAATGCGTGGTTTATGTTCTTTACATAATATTAATAGTGACCTTTGTTGAAGTAAAACAAATTGTCTTAATACTTTATAAATATTTGCAAATTATTTTCAAAATTATGCTGTTTATATGACAAAGGTATGCTGTTTTGTATTAACTTTTTTATTCTGACTGTCAAAGAAAAGTTAATATGAGGATTTTGGCTTTCAGTTTTTTAAAGGATTTGAAAAAGAACCTTCAGTATTGTGGAGATTGTGTTGCAGGGTTGCTTTGCTTGGGGTTTTTCTTTAACTTTAGAAGAATCAGATGTGCCAAGCCATTCCGATTATCCTGGAACAGTACCTCGGGCTTCACAGTGTAGCTTGTGAACCTGTTTCTGTCTTGGCTGAAGGTTCAGAGGTGTTTCAGTTGGATCAGACATCTGGGTTCTCTTTAAACCGTTTCAGAACACAGGAACAAAATTGTCAACTAGACTGCAAAGAAAGATATTTTAAAAAACGGAAGAAAATAGGTTAATCCTGATTTAACAACAAGGTGTCATTGAGTCCATCTAGCCTATAAGCAGGATTCTAAAACAGATCATATATTCTCATGCATGATGAGAACTCTTCCAACAAGAGTCAGAATTTCTTAGGCCTCTAAGCATAAATCAGCCTTCACTGAGTGTTGGAAATATCCCCAATATGTTATTTTGTAATTACTAAGTATTTTCTTTCTTAGTTTCCATGAAGTGACCAGTAAGGGGGGATACTGGAATAACCTGTCATCTGATCCAAACGTGGAAATACTTATCTTTGGCTATGAGTAATAGTAGAGCAAAATATATGCTATGTACTTCAGACTTCTACTAGTAACTGTTTAGCATGTGATGCAGTTGAATAAAACTGGTGGTCTGATGGGATGAATAATAGACATTATTAAAAGCAATTTAAGATATTCTGACAGGAATGAACAGGAGAAGGACATGAATTTGGGAAAGCATTCCAAAAAGTGATTTGAAAAATGAAATTTCTGATTTTGGAGCACAGAATATTGAAATTTGACAGAACACTGGAAAGAGTCATCTGGGAGGGTGAGCTTCCTTAATCCAGGGTAGCTTGTGTCCTTTAACAGTTTAGATTTCGGTGACATTCAAACAATGGGGGAAAAAAGGCTTTGAGCTGTGATATGACCTTAGCTTTTCTACTTGAAGCTGCCATTAGTTGTTGGGAATTAACAGTTGCTGAACTATATGTAAGGAAAGGCTATAGATGGTAGAATGGTAGAGAAGGTGGTACAGTTGTGGCAGGCTGTTGTCAGTACTGCACAAGGATTTTGCTGTCTTGAATGTATTCTAGAGATGTCATGAAAATATTTAAGTATGTTCAATATGCAAAGTACGTATTACTTAAATGGATGAGCACTGAAAAGGTTTGAAATAGAGTCAAGAATATGGGCGGATTTGTTTCTGCAAGCTGTTAGATTAGGACAGATGCAGATAGCCAGGCTTTTTGAGAGCTCTGTTGACGTAAGTTACAGATACTACGTGAGGTGTTATAATCTGTGATGGTGCTTTTTGAAACTGTCATGCTCATAGACATAGGTTTCAGTAAATCTTGTCCTGCTCCGTATACTAATTCTCTGGTTCTTTGGACAAGAATGTATCATTGCTAAACCTAAGAGCACGAATATACCTGTATAGCAGATTTTTTTAAATTAATTATTTGCAGTACAGAGTACACTAAAATGTTCATCTTTTTGCGGGATGGTTCTTCATGGTACTCTGTGGTTTGCTTTGGCAGAAGAGGAACTTGTAGACAATATTGATAACTTTTGCTGTGTAGTTTCTCAGTGATCTGTGAATTTCTTCCCATTCTTTGATTCAATAAGGTGTGACTTGTTTATGGGGCTCTTCAGAATCACTTCATCGTCAGAAACAGTGACTCACAGTTACAGTCTTGAATGCTTTTGGATCTTCTCTTGCATCTCTCAGATGGTGTCTTTTGTTACATATCAGACTGGATGTGTTGTAAAACTCATCTTGATTGCTAATGACCAGGCATGTTCTGTGAGCTCTGTGTAGTGTTGATGAGAGACTGTCTTTGGACCAGAAACCTGCCTTTAGTAATATAGATAATCTTGCTGGAGATGTTCCAG